GCTCTTTTCTTTTTTCCTTTTTCTCGTAGACAAAAGAAAAAAAGAGAAAAAGGTAAAAAGAAAAAAAAAATTCATAAATAATAAAGACGATAGTGACGTGAAATCATCATTGAAAGGATCAATGACGCATCATTGAAAGAATCAATGACGCATCATTGAATGATCTAGACGAGGTGTGATCTATCATCTACGTAAAGAGATATATAAAATTCTTGCATAGCGAACACGGAAAAAAGCGAACATCCTAGACTCATTTAAACGAACACTTTCTATTACTCTAGATTTTAGATAAAGGACAGAAATAAACTCCTGGACTATTCACTAGCTCTCTCTCTCTCTCTCTCTCTCTCTCTCTCGTTTTTCCTTTCTTTCTTTCTATTTCTCTTTCTCTCACTTTCTTTCGTGGATGAATTACAGATGGTTCAACAGGTATCACCAAAACTTCTGGCAACTAGTTGCCAGCTCACGGAATAAAAGATACGATAAAGAGAGAGAAAGAAAGAGAGAGATAGAGAGAGAGAGAGAGAGAGAGAGAAAACATTTTCAAATTCAAGAGGTGCGTTCGCAAAGAGGAGGACCACAGAGTACGTTAGGTCATTCTCGTTTAAAAATTTTGTTCCTAGAAGTCACAGTTCTAACTAGCTACTTTAAATTGCATCGTTTCACGTGAGCAACGGGATAGATAAATAGATAGAGAGAGTGAGGGAGAGAGAGAGAGAGAGAGAGAGAGATACAAAGGGGGAGAAAAGTGGAGAAGAGGAAGGAAGAGAACAAGGAAGTAGTAGCCTCTACGAGAGCTGTTTCAAAATTCCATCTAGCTTAATGCATTTCGAAGTTTTGATTAGCGCCCGTCTCGAAGCTCGACGATGCTGTGATTAATAATCTTCCTTCCGAAATGTTGCCATTATTTATTCCCTTATTTTTCGATCTTCCCGAGATTAATTATATTCTACCAATTTTCTTTCATGTTAATAGATATATATAAAAAAAAATAATAATAATTATTATTATTATTATTATTGTTGTTATTGTTATTATTATTATTATCTTGTCATATTTTGTAGCCAAAGATCGATTCGTTTAAAGATAAGACCCAGGAGTCAGACAATACTTTGAGAGTTTTTGGAAGAATCAAAGTCTTTTGTTCAATGGGGAATTTTCTACGATACGAGTCAAAGAAACGTAAGATAGAGAGAGAGAGAGAGAGGGAGGAGTTGCTCCATTATTTCGATTTCATTCGGAACGATCTTTATTAGAAGGAACGAGAGATTTCTAGATTGAATTGAACACTCGCGAGACACATACCGTAGAGACTGGACCAAGGTCGATAATTGATTTTAGGCTAGAATGAATTTCTTTAAAAGCGAACACACTCCGTTCAAAATTGGATTCACGAAAGAAAGCTCTACCTTGATTAATTCGCGATGTGTCATCCGTCGGCGTTTCCTTCCCCTTTACGATCGACTTGTGAGACGAAAGTTAAATAAAGAGAGAAAGAGAGAGAAAGAGAGAAAAAGAGAGAGAGAAAGAGAGAGAGAGAGAGAGACGAGAAAGAAGTAGAAGAGAGAAGGGTCATCGCTTTGCTAACTTTTTCTTTCCACTTGATGGCACTTAGAACAAGCCGAAAGGAGAAGAAGATTGATGAAATTTGTAAATGGAGAATTAGCTAGATCGTAAGTATAGACAGACAAATTGAAAATGGATAAAGATAAAGAAAATTATCGTCGAGGGAAATCCTATTTATATACTTTTGTACGATTATTAAATTTCTTTGAGAGATAGCGATGAAATATTCTTTATTGTATGAGAAAGTAAATGGTTGATAGATAAACCATGAGAAAGAAAAAAAAGAAGAAAAAAGAAAAAAAAAGAATAAATGAGAAAATATGAAAAATTGAAAAAATAACAAAAATATAGCACGAGAAGAAAAAAAAGAAAGAAAGAGAGAAAAGAATAAAGTAAATGGGAACGAAGATGATAAAAATGAGATGCAAGACATGGAATATCACGCGCTAAAATGTAACTTCGTATCGTAAAGTAACAGCACGCCATGTAATATGATAATGAAGTTAAAATATTAGTATTTCTAACCAACGTAAAAGAGATAGAGATAGATAGATAGATAGATAGATAGATAGATAGATAGATAGTGAAAAAGAGAGAGAGAGAGAGAGAGAGAGTTCTAATTTAAACTTCGTCGGTATACTTCCGTCTCTTGGAAATCTTTGGATAATCTGGTTAGCCATTGTTCCGATAATTTCTTATTTAATTTTTCCTTTTATTTATTTTTTCCTATTTCTTATTTTTTATTTATTTTTTTTTCTTTGTTTATTTTTTTCTAACATTCAGAATATATAATTTCAATGAAAATTAGATAGATTTTATCAAGAAAATATTTATATATGGTGCATACGAATTAAAATGCGATTTCGGGCGAGATATCAAAGAGTAAAGAAAAAAAAACAGAACGAGAGAGAGAGAGAGAGAGAGATAGAGAGAGAGAGAAAGACAGAAGACATCAATCTTTCTCATGTTCTCTTCTTTCTCTATCTCTCTCTCTCTCTCTCTCTATTTTTTTTAATTTTTTTACTTTTCTCTTCCAGTACAATTTCTACCAAGACGAGATCATCCTTATTCTTTTTTTCATTTCTTTCTTTCTTTCTTTCTTTCGTAAGATTTAATTACGCTTTCTAACTATTTAATATCGTATCGATCGATTAAACGAAACATTTGCACGCCTTAATTAACTTGACCCTTTCATTCTTCTATTCACTCGTTTTTTATCCTAACCTTTTTTTTTCTCTTTATCTCTTTTCAATTCTTAACCGAGATAACGTAACATAAGGTGCACTTACTCATGCAAAATTTCTTCTTTTGCATTTCGTCGATTATATTTCTTCTTTTTTTTTTTCTTTTCTTTTTTCTTTCAATCTTCTTTTATCCCACTTTTTCTCTTCTCGTCCTACAAAAGCCTTATACCTTAATATTCGTCCTAACGATCGTGATTTTCTTCGATGTTCGAAAGAAAATTAAAAAAAAAAAAAAAAAAAAAAAAAAAAAAAAGAAAAAAGAAAAAGAAAAAAAAAGAAGGAAAAGAAAAGGAAAATTACAAAATAGAGAAAAATATTTTAAATATATCGAAGTTCGAAGAGAAATAGGTCACAGATCGAACAACCGAGTGAACTGAAAAAAAATAATTAATTCGAGTAATCATTCTTTCGAGAGCAATCGGAAGAAAAAGGAACAATCATTAATATGTACACAAAAAAAAAAAAAAAAAAAAAAAAAGAAAAAAAATCACGCGTACCGATAAGTACACGTTAATTTTCAAAATCGTTTCTTTTGCACTGGATGCTCGTCCTACGAAAAATATAATACAATCGTTTCTCTTTTTTTTTTTTCTAACATATCTTCTCTCTCTCTCTCTCTCTCTCTCTTCCTTCTCTATCACCTTCTCTCGAGGTGTACCAAACTTCAACGATAACATTTTCCACAAGGATAACTGTACGTCGGATGCATATTTTATTCGCGATATTAGAACGCGAACGCCGGACGGAAATGGAAATACCGATATCTGATATTGATTTCCCGCGAGCGAACTTGCTTTTTCTCTTTCTCTCTCTCTCTCTCTCTCTTTCTCTTTCACCCTCTCCCATCTCTTTTTTTTTCTTTCTGTCTTTCTCTCGCACAAACGGAAAACCCAATTACCGATAATGGATTTAACATTTTATATTCTGTGTCTCGTGGGAACTAAGAGTACGCACGTTCGGCGTCTCGTTAAAATACGATGAAGAAAGAACTTTGAGTGTGAAAGACAAAAGAAGAAAAAAAAAAAAAGAAAAAAAAAAAAAAAGAAAATTAGAGAGAGAAAGAGAGGGAGGTAGAGAGGGGAAGGCGAGGATGGCGAGGAAAGAATTATGAAAAAGTTCTTATCTCGCGTATGTTGAAGTAAATGCTTTAATAATCGTTCTACCGAGATATAATCTTCGTTGGATTTCGAGTCAAGTTTTTATTAATTTTTTGTGCTCTCTTTTATTTATTTATTTATTTCTTTTTTTTCTCTTTTTTTTGTTCCTTTCATTCCTTTTCTTCACTCTTCGTTCGTTTTTTCATCTTCGCGAAAAACTCTTTCTTAAGAAAAAGTACTCATCCCCGATCGCTCTTCTTATTCTTTATTCATTTATGTATGAATGTACATAGATATCCATGTAGAAGTATATGTACCAAGCATTTTCCTAGTTGATTCATGCAAATGTATCGCTTCTAAAGTGACTTTGGATGACGATGAAACTATATTCTCGAGTTATCTCTTCGATGGGCAAAAAAAAGAAAAGGAAAGAAAAAAAGAAAAAAAAAAAAGAAAGAAAAAGAAACAGAAAAAGAAAGAGAAAGGAAAAAAATGAAGAACTAAAAAAAAAAAAAAGGAAAAGAGAAAACGAAAACGAGAAAAAAATAAGGAAAGAAAAAACTTGTAGCACCCAACGTATATGATCGATGATATCTATTCGTGAATACCTATGATTATATATATATATATACACACGTCTATGGTTTACCGAGGAGAATGCGAATTTTCGATTCTCGAAAAGAATGTTACGAGTACATACTTTTCTCTTCGTTCTTGTTCCGAATCGAAAGTTTGTAAAACGTTGCCCAGACAAGCGAAGATTTAAGAGAGAAAGAGAGAAAGAGAGAAAGAGAGAGAGAGAGAGAGAGAGAGAGAGAGAGAGAGAAAGAGAGAGATCTGTGTTCCACCGAGAGAAATTTCTTTCTTGACGTTTTTATATTTTCTTAAATATCGAATACACGTAAAGAAACGATAGATCGATCGGGTATCATCGATCAACGTCTATATCGTTGATTAAATTCTACCTATTGATACGATATAAGTCTATAAAATATCAGGCAAGAATAGACGATTATTATTAAATATCTAATGGATATGATATAATGATAGCACGTACAAAGTATATTAATATTTTTGATTTATTAACACTTACCAGTTTTAACCATGCGTTCGTCGTTAATATCTGATTCTTTTCATCCTGAAACACAAAGCATTTAATTAATTAATATGTTATATAGTTAGAACAAGTTGTCTGACAAATGATATAAAAATTTTATAAGCGACGATCAAACTTTTAGTTTCAACAAACTTCAAATGATTTATCGTTTCGTAAAGGAAAAAGAAAATTGTATCACATAATGTACGATACGATACAACAATTATCTATGTATATATATATATATATATATATATATATACATATATTTATTTATTTTTTGTATAGTCTCTAGATATATATGTAAAAAAGAATTAAAGATATATATATATAGAATCAACATTTTATATATACCTAAAAGAGCTTATTTCAAGTATCAAACTAAATCTCCATATTTTATATTAATTAGACATTCCTTCTGTCAAAAACGAAACACATTTTGAATTATTATTAATTCGACATTAATATGTATATTCTTTATTTATTCCAATAATGTTCAAACAAATACGAATAAACGATAAATGACCGTTTTGTACGATACGTCCTTTCATCGGGAGATTATCACAAATTTTATCGAATTTTACGTGCATAAGCAAAAATAATAAAAACAACATGGTAATATAAACTCGTACTATATAAATATTATCTAGATAGTTATATAGATTTTCAAAACGAAATTACAAAAAGGTGGAGGAGTAATAAAAGGAAGGGAACAATGTACCTATCACCTACCTGCGTGCCTATCTACCTACCTATTGCCTATCTATCTACCTACCTACCCGATCATATACGATCCAGAGAGAAAGAGTATTGCGCTTTTGAAAATTGCATACACAAACGCAAACTCAGGGTACGTGCGCAATTCAAGAAGACACACGATAAATATTTATTCGTAAAATGAATGGGATCGTGAAATGATCCACGCGATAGAGCAGCGTACTCGTTGGCATGCGCAAACATGATAATGTTGTATGATAAACATAATTCTCTCTCTCTCTCTCTCTCTCTCTCTCTCTTTCTCTTTGTTAATTTCTCTTCGAACGTCTTTTATAAATATTAATAATAATAATAATAATAAGAATAATATTAATAATAATATATCTAAAATAAACTAATAATTCATCGAAGGTATAAATGCGTAAGATATTCATCGACGACATTTTTTTTCAATTAATCGAATTTATTTTTCTATTCTGATAAATCGAAAAAAATCTCTTCAAACATTTTCCATTTACGCTTATGTCTGTCTCTCTATCTGTCCTGTTTGTATGTTGTACGTTCGCACGTATATATTATCGCTTGCGGATAAAAAATATCAATTTTCTTTTTTGCACCTACGTCCTTTTTTTTAAACACTATCATCGAAATTCCCGGCACAATTCAATATTTATACGATAATTTTGCCTGAAGTGTAAAAAATATTTCTCTTTCGATATCTAACGATTTAAAAAATGTTTACCCTTTAACGAACACGAATCATTTGCTAATCTCATTCTACTTATATTAAATGTTATATAATTTTTTACATCTATCATTCCAGGTAGAGAATGGATTGGAATATGAAAAAAAAAAATAAAAAAAAAACAAAAAAAAATTAGATAATTTTTATTAAAAAATAAATATAATTACAATTTGTTTTTTTTTACGACACGAGGCGTGGAAATAGAGAGAGAGAGAGAGAGAGAGAGAGAGAGAGAGAGAGAGAGAAAAGGATAGAACAAGTAAAAGAGAAAGAGAGAAATGGTGCAATGTCGGACGGTGTAGAAATTAACACTGCTTGTTCTCTGTTTCTTCGTACAAAGGAGTATTTCACTTTAGTTGAAGCTTCTGCCGACGTAAAATCCTCGATAATTAAGCATACGTACAACGTGAAACATGGAACACGATTAAAACCGCAGGACGTGCAAACACACTAGAAAAGGAGGTTCATCCTAGTCTGTGCTTATGCATTAGATAATATATGGACAAAGAGAAAACGTCTTTAGTAATACATATATATATATATATATATATATATATATATATATATGCATGCGCATATGTATGCATACATATAATTATGTATATATGTATATATCTATAGAGTACAGTTTAAAGTACCTTTTAAACGGATAATTTAACCTTTTGTCGTTAATGATACGAATCTTTCCTTTTTTTCTCCCTCCCTTTTTAAGTCTTAGATATAAAGAGAAAATAAAATAATAATGAAAAAGAAGGTAAATCATTATTTCACGGAGAACTACGTGACGAGTGGATTCTCAATGATAACGCGATGCAAACAAAATATGCAACATAGTGTACGAAAAAATGGGAAAGAAATGTTGTCGCATCTAAAAGCAAAGTTCGTGACTAACGAACTATGTCGCATCTGAAATTGAATGTACTAAAAAATAGAAAAAGGGTACAAATGATGATAATCGAAATTGTTCGCACGACTTTGTCGAAACAACGTACTTGAAATCTTTTGAAAAAATAAAAGAACGTTGGAACGTTGTCTTCTTTTTTTTTCTTTTTTTTTTTTTTTTTTTATTACACTTCGATTTTATTTCTTTTTCTCCCTCTTCTGGAGAGTATTATTTGAAGAAAAAAGAATAATAATAATAAACGAGGTCAAATTCTTGTCCAATACCGAATTAGCGAATGGTCTTTCAATGAGAAAAAAAAAAAAAGAAAAAAGAGAACGAAGAACACGTACGTTCTTCGGGCAAACTTGCAAACTTACATTAACATTTTTTTGAACGAGAAAGAGATGATAAAAAAAGAAAAAAAAAAAAAAATTAAAAAAAGAAAAAGAAAACTTCTTGTAAGATAGAAACATTTTGTCAGGGTATTTTCTTTCCTTCTTTCTTTCTTTCTTTTCCCTTCCATTACATCTGATTTCTTTTTCTCTTTCTCTTTCTCTTTTTATATATGATAAAGCATAAAACTCGGTAACATTCTTCTTGCACGTAGGTGCAAAAAAAAAAAAAAAGAAAAAAAGAAAAGTTACTAAACAAAGATGAAGACGAAAGAAGAAAAAGAAGTAAGAAAGAAAGAAAATAAGGAAGGAAGGTAAGAAGGAAGGAAGGAAAGAAAGAAAAATAGGGGATATAACAAAAAATCAAAGTCCAGCTAAAAGAAGTGGAAAAAGTATTTTATAACATAAGGTAAGGATTGAAATGGGGTGAGTGATATACAACCATGGTACGAGATCTTTTTTGTCCAAAAATATTTGCTGTGCGATATTTTTTACCTTACCCAACTTTAAAAACTTCCTTGAAACTAAGCAATACAGTGAAAGACGTAGGAGACATCAGGGAGCATGAAATAATAAGAAAGCTACTATTACGTACTTGCAAGGATGAGTGAAAGAAAATTTATGGAGGTTATTTTTCGTGGACCCATCCAAGAACTTACGTATACATATACATATATATATATATATATATATATATATATATATATATATATATATGAAGTCATCGATGTACGTGTACGTATGTATGTCTCTAAGTTATGCATTTTGCTATCAAACGTATAATCATCGTAACGATGAAGCTGATAAATTGAAAGTATAATAAGTATTGATTTTTCAAACTTAAATAATAAATATATTACTCGACGAAATAAAGCGGCTTTATTAAATAAATAAATTACGCGGTTTCGATTAATAACCCAAAATAATTGATAAGTTTAAATATTTATTTACGATTATATTGCCGCATAATAATATAAATTTTTCTCGCTAGTAATTCGCCGTTGATATTATTACGTAGTAATTAAAACGATAATTAAAAACTCCAATAATAATAATAATAATAATAATACTAATAATAATAATAATAATAATAATAATAATAATAATAATAATAATAATAATAATAATAATAATAATTACATAGATTATCGTAGATATGCGAACGCCATTAGAAATAATCTATCGTTTCCGAAATAAAATTCTTTATAAAGTTCTTTTCTCGCGTGAATAAAAAAAAAAAAAAAAAAAAAAGAGAGAAAAAAGATTCAAACAATGTTTACGCATACGGAAATAATATCCTCCGTCTATCCTTCTATCGTATGAAGAAAAAAAACAGAAAAAAAAAGAAAAAAAAAAGAAATTGTACCATATCGCTTTTACTATTCGTCTATTATTTTTCATATGATCTTCCTGCGCACGAGAGTTTACATTGAAATTGAATCGTAGATATCTCTTACGTCTCGTATCTTTATGCAAAATTTTCTCGTAATACGTAAATATGTTAGTATTTAGATAGTAACTACACATATGCATACGAAATATATATATATATATATATATATATACATATATATATAAGAGAAGAAACTGTATACATAGATATGTAAGTAGGTACATAGAGGCGCATTATCACAGTCACAATCTCCGGAGCGCAAATATAAATGAAGCAAAGAAAACGAGCAAGTAAAGTGAGAGAGAGAGAGAGAGAGAGAGAGAGAAATTCGCTTGCAAATATGGAAAACTTAATGCAACGTCTTCGTACGTTCGTTCGTTCGTTCGTTCGTTAACATTACTCTTCTGCACGTAATCCTTGCATTTCACGAAAATTTCAAGTTAAATAAATATACCTTCACTAATACATACTTGTATACTCGAAAATGAATAAGATCTGACCTCGTTGTGAAAGCTTTAAGTATCAAAACGATGACGTCTATTTCTTCTTTTTTTTCTTTTTTCTTTTTTTCTCCTTTTTCTTTTCTCTTTTTCCTTTTCTTTTTACATTCCTATATACATGTACACATATATATCGCATTTATAATTATTTACGTACCTTTATTTTTATCACGTCATAAGACACATTAAAAAGATATCGTTCTACTTCTTTTCTTTATTTTTTTTTTATTTTCTTTTCTTTTTTCTTTTTTTTTTAATTTTCACGATAGCGATACAGAAAGAGGGAGTGAGAGAGAGAGAAAGAGAGAGAGAAAAGAGGGAGTGAGAGAGAGAGAGAGAGAGAGAAAAAGAGAGAAGTAAATTCAGTACAAGCGACAACGTATCGGATTGGATATTAAATGAAGGATCATTGAGTAGGTATAACGAAGCCATCGATGTTGGGCTGATGATATTGAGTTTCAGGGACATATTCATTGACATTGAATGTTATTATCGTTAATGGGAGGAAAGTCAGCGTGCGACGTGGCGATATAAAGAACGCGTGAAAACGAACAAGGAGAAAAGGAGATCGACTCGGAGAGCACTCTAAACTCTCATTCTCTCACCCTTTCTCTCTCTCTCTCTCTCTCTCTCCTCTCTCTCTCTATTCGTATGCGGTTCAACTAACCTCTATATATGTTACAAAGGAGACGAGAGGCATAATAGAAAGCTTTCACAACAAACTTCCATCGGTCGATGGATATATGGCACTTCATAGCATTGTGCATTTTAATGTCGATAGAAATGGTAATGGCTGTCGATGTTATATCGTCGAGAGAGAGAGAGAGAGAGAGAGAGAGAGACTGTTCTTATTCTCTCGTTTAAAGAATTTTTTACAAGAGCCAAATCGAATTTATTATTTTCTTTTTTCTTATATTAATAAATTATCTGTGTATGCGAATTTTTTATTAAGAAAAAAAAAAAAAAAAAAAAAGAAAAATTGTCCAGCTTCGTTAAATAATATAACAGAAAGGCGAAAGTAGGGAAATGAAAAAAAAAAAAAGAATTGTATTTTACAAAGAAAGAAATACAACGAGATACTTACCACGTCGATAATTTGTTGTAAAGTTATTCCAAACTTAACTTCCAGTGGTTCGCTCTCATTGGCTACTGGTCGTTCCAAAGTATTGTAATTCGACAATAAGTTATTTAATAATCGTTTCTCGTGTTGTCCACCCAGGCTCTCTGTAATCAAAAGAAAAAAAAAAAGAAGGAAAAATTAATATAATTATGTTTGATACATTCTCTCGTCTATCTATTACTTACACGTGTGTAAGAATATATAAATAAATATATATATATATATATATATATATATTGTTTAAAAATTTGAAAGTTAAATCTGATTAAGACAGATATAAAATTTAGGAGATATTCAAGTGTAAAAAATCGTTGGAAACGACGTTGATAAATTTTTCAATAAAAGAAATTAAACGAGATTGACATGGATCGTAATGATCGACGATTAAGTATAATGGTTTTAAGAGATAAAAAATGTCGGCTATGTCGGTGCTGATAAAAGAAATGAAAGAACGGGGCCTTCCATTTCCTTTTCTCTTTTCTTTCTTTTTTCATTTTCTTTTCTCTTGTTTTCTTTTTCTTTTGTTTTTTTCCCCCTTTTATTTTTATGCTCCGTACGAGCATAGTAAAACGAAGCCCCCCCTTTTTTTTAGGACGAGAATTCGCCTTGATAACGATCAACCACCGGAATAATTAATTATTCCTTTCGAGTTGACTTCGCTCTGTATAAAAAGAATATCCCTATTGTATCAGTCGTACGTTTTTTTATAAAAAATAAAATAAACAAAACACGTGACTATAGATAAATGCAAAAGGAAGAAATGAAATTGTTGCAAGAAATGCAATTTCTTTTTCCTTTTTTTTTTTTTCAAGCTCATTCTTGACATATATTTATATATACATATATGTGTCTATGTGTGTATATGAAAATGTTTCATTCTCTATTCATAAAGAGGAACTCGAGGAGACACTTGTTGCACGTGTGTGTATTTACGATTATACAAATAATAATTATAAACATTATCTTATAGTATTAAAAATTATATATTCGATAGGCAAAATATTGTTCAATTTTAAATAAAAATTATCACCTTGAGAATAAAACAAATTCTCAAATGAACTTATTGAAAAATGTTTTAAATATCGATTCATTTCTTTGGCAATTTATAGAATGCGGGTGTCTGCAAATTTCATTAAAGGTCCTCATCGTGATAACGCTTACTAAGGGTATAATGAGAGTGAGAGAGAGAGAGAGAGTGAGAAGTAGAGAGAGAAAGAGAAAAAACAGGAAGAGAGAGAGAGAGAGAGAGAGAGAGAGAGAGAGAGAGAGAGAGAGAGAGAGAGAGAGAGTGAAGAAAAACGAGGAAAGGGGTCGGTCAGAACGAAGCGCAAGCAGAGAGAGCACAATTAATGGCCCAAGCCAGATCTAAATCCTACATAGGCTCTTAAAATCCTTCTTAACGATAAAAAGCCATATGAGAGGAATCGTCCAACGATATTTTATTTCGCATTGGATGACACTATATCGATTTGCCGGCGCGATAAATCGATAAATCTAATATCACGAGCAATATCTTTACGACCTAACTGAAACATCCTCCATATACACGTAACTATAATACCTATACGTGTATGTGTGTATGTGTATAAGTAACAAATCAAGATAGAAAATCATAGTGGAAATTTAGAAAAAGGGATATCTATTATATTTTCGATTGTAATTTATCACAAAAAGGAAAGAAAAGGAATGGATAGGAAAGGAAAGAAATGAAAAGAAAAAAAAAATAAAAACAAATAAAACAACAAATAGAAAAGCTTAATAGAAATATCTTAAGAATGTGTTGGGATTGATAATATATATTAACAAACGAACACTGTTTAGAATTCTTTCGAGATACTTAGAAGACCTAGATGAGTACATATACGATTAGTGCATACTTCGAAACAATTCCGAAACTGAACTCACTGAGAAATTGGGAAACAATGCGGATCGCGTAGCTTACTACATTCTCCTTCTCTCTCTCTCTCTCTCTCTCTCTCTCTCTCTCTCTTTCTCTCTATCTTCTGAATTGTTAATCGATATAGACATTTCCATGTATTCATTGTCCACTATAAAGCTGCTCTAATTTATTACCGAAAAGCAATAGCCAGAACATTAGAGAGAAAGAGAGAGAGGGAGAGAGAGAGAGAGAGAGAGAGAAACAAACAGTACCTAATCCTTGGACAAAGTTGACAAAATTCTATTCATTCAAATTCAACAAAATCGTACTCAGGTTTGAAGCAATGAAAGCAAAGCTTTTCGAAAGATCGAACGTGAAATGCAACAGGATTGTGTAATACGTTTCAGGTGTAGAATAATGACGTTCCTTTATCCATTGTAGAATTCATAGCACGTGCGACTATCGAAGGGCGAAGAGAAGAGGAAAGAAGAGAAGAGAAGAGGAAAGAAGAGAAGAGAAGAGGAAAGAAGAGAAGAGAAGAGGAAAAAAGAGAAGAGAAGAGGAAAAAAGAAAAGAAAAGAGGAAAGAAAAGAAGAGAAGAAAAGGTGTGAAAGGATATGTTAGAGACAGAGAGAAACATACAGAGAGAAAGAGAGAGAGAGAGAGAGAGAGAGAGAGAGAGAGAGGTCGAACTGTCGCGAATACACAGATATAAGATCATGAAAGTAGTATACAAGAAGAGACTTTATACGGATTGAATTTCCTCCCTCTTCCTCTCCCTCTCTCACTCTCTCTCTTTTTCTTTCTTTTTCTCTGTCTATCTTACTCTCATCTTCCTCGTTTCCTTTCCTCTATTCGGTATTCGGAAGGCAAAGTTCGTACGTGAAGTAACGGAGGTTCGAAATTGTCCTACAAAATTTACCATCCCTTTCCTTCAACCCATCCACCCAATTCCTCTCTTCCATCCCCGGTCACACAAGTCCCAGTAAAGATGATCGCAAAGACGCCATTTTCGGTTGGCGATCACGTATATCCGTATTTCGTCCGGTAAAAATTGGGAAGGAGGGCGGAGGCAAGAGTCCGCTTCTATATCAGAGATATGGTGAAATAAGAAGATAGAATATTGTCGGTATACGTGGCCCCGTATGTTACTTCATATATTTATCTTATCTCACATCTAAACACCATACGATAAAAATAACTTTTGATAAAATACTTTTTTTTTTATATTTTTCTTTGTTAAACAATTATAAATGATGTTTTTCCGTGGCCAGGGATGGGAGGGCGTAAGGGCGAACTTTATATTATATTATATTTTATGTCGTGGACCAGTGGCAAGTATTGACAGTCTTATAACTCTAAGTATCGACGAGGTAATATATATATATATATATATATGAGAGAGAAAAGAGAGAGAGAGAGAGAGAGAGAGAGAGAGAGAGAGAGTATTAAAAGTCGTACGAGTTTCAAGGTTGTTCTAACGGTTAAGAATTAAGTACCGCGAAAATGGCCCCAACGAAACTGGGACGAGAACGTTCCTTCTTGAAAGTCTCGATGCATGAAATGTACGTAACTCGAAGTAGGTAGGTATGTAAGTACCTACCTATACTTTGGGAAAGAGAAAGACAGAGACAGAGAGAGAGAGAGGGGGGGGGGTGGGAGACACCGTTTATAGATTATATAATAAGGAACTCGGCCAAGTTCTTTCTCTATTTTTCTTCTTCATTTTCTTCCTCTTTCTTTTTTTTTTTTCTTTTTCTTTTTCTTTTTCTTTCTTCTTCCTCCTCCTCCTCCTCTTCCTCCTTTTATCTCTTCTTCCTCCTCCCAAGAAACAAATTGAGATTCTTTCAGGAGATGAACGTCGATGCACCGACACTTTGCGAAATATTTATTCGTTTACAAAATTCATTCGTTAAAGCCGCTCGTATTTCTTCGAACCAACGCGATAAATTCTTTCGGACGTTGGTATGAGAAGGATAAAATATTACCAACTTGAGCATTATCGTAACCTGTTAAATTATGAACAGAAGCTTGGTATTCCAAAGGTAAGTACGAAGAAGATTAACTTCGGAATATTGAACGAAGAAAGGAAAAAAGAGAGAGAGAGAGAGAGAGAGAGAGAGAGAGAGAGAGAGAGAGGTAGAGAGTGGGGGAGGGAGAGGGGTGAAAAGTAACCAAGAAGAATAAATTAATTTACTGTCATTATCGTTATCTCCTTTATAATAAATAACACATTCTTACGTGATTGTAATAAATAAGATTGATTATTATTAATAATGACAAGTTTGACGATTATTAATTTTATTTTATATACGATTGGAATGGCATTTATTTTGTTATTGTCAATTATCTAAATTTACATAACTACGTAAAATAATTTATATATATATGTGTGTGTGTATGTGTGTGTGTGTGTACGTAGATATTTTTTGTTTATCGTCTATTAGATTATTTTGTTAAAAATACGACTGATTCGTTGCCTATCTTATTCATCGATTTCGAATTCTAATAATGAAATCCGTGGTAGTTATAATACGATACAATGAAAACTATATCAATCCTTAGTAATTAGTATCAATTATGTGACAACTTTATGAACAGTTGTAAAAGACGCCGCCATATTGAGTTAATAGACAGACTGAACTGATACATAATAGTACTGTTCGTTTTCGAAAATGGAAAAGCAAAACGGATATACGGTTATACATCCACTGTTAATTCCTTTGTGCGGTTAAGGATAGACAGAATACGAATAATGCTCGATACTTTTCAAAAGAAATTATTCGCTCTCGACTACGATATTACATTGGTATCTCTCTGCACCATTCAAATTAATACTTACTACTAGTAAATGTATTACGAATTGTAGCTCTTGATGAATGGCATTCAATGTTTCGAATTTTTTATTTTTTATTTTTTTCATTTCCCTTCTTTTCTATCCTTTTTTTTCTTTTTCTTTTTTTCATACGTCTACCTAACGACAAAAAGTGAAATAAATCGTGGCACGAAGTTCTCAATATTATACGTAATTGTTCTATCTCGATATATTATATTAAATATTTTTTGGATATAAAATTTGAAAGTATATATTTACATAAAGAAATACTTTTCAATTAAATATAAAATTCATTATCAATAAATTTCAAATATACAAGAGAACATAATGTTAATTATTTCACATAATGTTAATTACTCTAATGATCTAATAACAAATATATGAAACTC